TCCCTGTTTTACAGACTTTAAAGCTGCAACTTCTTGTACAGTAGTAATATGATCTTTAATTTTAACTGAAATTTCATCTAATCGTTTAGTGGTGCTGCCATGCAGTTGTATGTCTTTTAGAATTTGAAACCTTTTCTCAATTTTTGCATTTCCTCGAACACATTCTTTAGGAGGATGGAAACTCAAATAAACTTCTGACGTACCATGCCTTGATAAGTCCCCTAGTAACAGATTTGACCACAATGGTAAAGTTGGCATATATAACTTGTGTATCTTTTCAGCTAGAACTGGAGAATATCTCTTGTTTCCTGGAACTTCAATAAAGAACTGTTGGTCGATTTCGGCTTTAACTTCAGTCAAAATAGAATCTGCCAAGTATGCAAACTCGTTTCGTGTTGACCTGCTTTGAAAGTCTTCTTCAGTAAGAAAATCTGGGTTCTGGTTTTCTGTAAACAGTTGTAATGTTTCCTGGTCTGCAGTATACTCGCTGTCAGTGCACATGTCCATTAAATCCATGTCTTGTAATCCAAGTGATGAAATTTTTTGTTCTAGAATATTTAGATATTCTATCGTCTGTTGATCTACTACTTTTGATAAAAGAATGTAATAAATAGCTCTTATTCTTTCCAATACCTCTGACAGTAAAGTCGAGTTCAACAAGACACTGAAGCAGTACATCCCAAAGTCAAAGTTTGATTTGTAGTGATCCAAAGCCACTTTCTTAAAAGATCCCATTACATGAGATAGACATGCATGTGGAAAAATGCCATTGAGGTCGCCATCTTTAGCGCATCCGTTGATAATTCTGAATGATCGAGTCCTAAACGTATTGAGATCTTCATTATTAAACTCCGATAGTGCTGCTTGTATGAAGACGAGACTTCTGTCACTGTTAATTTGGTAAGGTTTTGATGTGTTGGCATGACCATATATTTTTTTCTCACTTCGTCTAAATTCAGAGAGCCAAAATCGAACTAAAGGGGTGGAATGGAGGGATGATATCATACTTGATACTGGTATTAACGGATGTCCTGGAACTGGATTCGAACACGCCAACTCATAGTAGTAGTATTTCCATTCATCATCTCTATGGCTTAAAATGCTCCCGGTAGCATCCCAATGAACGATGCCAGATTTTGCAAGGTCGTGCCAAATACGAACTCCATTCTCTGTCCAGTACATTATATATGGTGGCCAAATAGCAATGTGCTGTATGAAACCTGATATTTTTTTCCCTTTTATTTCTTTCTCCATGTCTTCTCTTAATTTACACAGACTTTCGAATTCGTTCTTATCTAAGCGGTTTTGATTTCTGGATTCGTGTGCAATTTGTTGAAATGTTCTTATTGTGTTGCCAAAGTTTGAAAAATTTCAAGCGACTTTAACATCTTGTGGTGTATCTTTAAAGGTTTGTAAGTAGTGCTTCAGTGGTTTTTTTCCGTCTTGAAATACATTTTTTGTTTCTTGTCGTTGATGTCCTTGTATAGGTCGGGCGTGATTCTCTTTTAAGTTATGTTTAACATTTGAACCGACTTCCACATGCACGATATTGTTGCAGTCCATAGAAAATTTACATACGTTCACACAATCCCGGAACTTACACTCTCCTTCCCCTCTAAACAATGCTGTATTTTTTGGTCTTTTTGTTGCAATGGAAACTTTATGATGCTTAAACATGTAAACGCAAAAAGGATTAATGTGTTTTATTCCATTTGCTATAAGGTGTTCCCAGCTTCCTCTCGCGAAATATCGACCTCTTCTTTCTTGACAAAGTGATGACCATTGCGACGGAGTTATGGAAAAGCTGCCTTTGGATGGAACAAGTGATTGAAAATATTTGCCTGTAACTGTCGAACCAAACATGGCCTCCAAAGTGTTATGGCTTAACTTTGAACAAGAATCTGTGTTCTCTCCATCAGTATTAATTAGTTTAACATCCTCTGACCATATGTTAGAATCCATCTTTACTTCATTACTGTTTATATCAATACAGCTACTAACAGTACAGAAAGGGTTATCCAATACACTGCTGTCACTGCTTTCATGTTCATCTATTGAAAAGTTATCACTGATTTCTTTTGTTAATTGAATTGTTTCTTTTATACTTGTTTGTGTTGGTCGGTGTCTTATCCTTTCATCATCGATATTCTTGTTGTCAACATTCATTTTTGATTTCAATGGAGCCAAGTAGCTTTTCGTTGCTTTATCAGTTGTTTTTCTATTCATTGACGAATCTCGTTCTGAACAACCAGCGCGAACAGATGTGGTCTGTAAAAGTATAACATTTTTTTCATCGTCTAAATTTTCACTTATTGGTTTTTGTGTGCCGTTTGTTGGACCTGTTATTTTTGGTATTTCGTCATCATCCGTATGGTTCATATCCTGCTCACGGTTCGTTAACATATCTGACCCTACAATAAGGACATCCTCTCCTTTTTCATATCTGTCTGTAGATGGTCTTTGAATTATGGTTGTGTCCTTCATTATAAATTTTGAAGGTCCATCCAGGGTGTTACCATTGTCAATAAATTGATACAGTCGTTCTGCGTCATAAATTTTATATATGTCTTCTTCAGTCGAAAATGTTCCTGGTGATTTGTCTATTTCCTTATTTTCATTTTCCTTTTCTGGAAAACTCATAATTTTCTCGTTAATATTTTCGGTACGCTTTGTCATAGGTACTTTTTCTGAATTGATTTTTGATACTCCTTTCTTAACTGCATTTTCCTTACAATCCGTAGCTAGTTGATGTTTTTCGGTCTTATCTTCTATATGTAGTCTTTCTGTGATGTTTGTTTTACATGTTTTATCTAGCATTTCGTCATCAGTAACATGTTTCCATTCCTCCTCATGGTACTTTGATATATCTGACTGTACATTTTGGACATCCTCTCTACATCCAAATATGTATTTTTTAGGTCTTTGAACAACGACTGTTTTCTTCTTTATAATTTCAAAAGGTACGTCCAGGTTGATACCATCATCAATATATTGATACATCGCTTCTACCTCAGAACAACTGCTTATGTCTACTTCCTTTTGTAACGATGTTGTTGATTGGTCTTTTTTCAGATTTTCATCTTCATCATCTGCTAAACTCATCACTTTTTCATCAACATTTTTCTTACGTTTTATCTGTACTTTTCCTATACCACCTTTTGATAGTCCTATTGGTACTGTTTTCTTCTTACAATCTGTAGCAAGTTGATGTTTTTCGTCTTCATCTGCTCTGTTTGTTTTATTTACAAAGTCGTCATCAGTAACATGCTTCCTTTCCTCCTCGCGGTTATTTGATGTATCTGACTCTACATTTTGGACATCATCTCTACTTTCAATTATGCTTTTTGTTGGTATTTGAACACTGCTTGTTTTCTTCTTAATGACTTTGTAAGGTGCATCCTGGTCGGTAAAATCATCAATAAATTGACACATTGATTCAACCTCTGAACTAGTGCTTATATCTACTTCTTTCTGTACTGATACTGGTAATTGGTCTTTTTTCAGATTTTCATTTTCATCATCTGATAAACGCAGATTTTTTTCTTCAACATTTTTCCGACGTTTTATCTGTACTGTTGTTGTACAATCCTGTGATAGTCCTTTTGGTACTGTTGTTTTCTTACAATCTGTAACATGTTGATGTTCTTCGTTTCCTATGAAAATAAGAAGATACAGTAACCGTGTATTTTTGAACAGCGGTATACTACTATTGCCTATTATTGATATACATAAACTAGAGGCTCTGAAGAGCCTGTGTCGCTCACCTTGGTCTTTATGCATATTCAACAAATGGCACTCCAAAATACATTATAGGCGAGAATAGAGTTCGGGGCAAAATTCTCTGTTCTGTTGATCTTTTATTAATATTGCTTATCATTTAGTACGTTTAGTTTTTATCTCAAAACACAAAAGAAGGTAAACTCAATCCTAAATTAAGGTCAATCCCTCATATAAAGTGTGACAGTCTACTAACTATATCTAACTATAACTAAAATTTTTATAGGGAAAAAAAGGGGCACAGCAGTCAACATTGTGTTATCATCTTTATCACTATAAAAACAAACAAATGTAACAAAGAAGCACAAAAAGGCATACATCAAATTTAACAACCTCATTTCGCTTTTTTTATTATTCGGTTTTACGTAAAGTACACCCATAAAAGATTGAAAGATTTTAAGTACTTGTACCGATCCTTACCGTGACAGACATGGTTGGATTAACATTAACTTAGACGTAGAATCGCGCGTTTGACGTCACACAGGTGTAAGCATTGGAAAAGTGCTCTTGGTCAAAAATATCCTTCCCCTGTTTGGAGGATTTTTAAATGACAATTAAACGCAAACATTCGAATTGTATTTAAATTTTTATTATATTTGATTTATATTTAATTTCCCGGGAGGCGCTCTCAATAAAAATATTTTTTGGTTTAAGCTTAAGAAAGTAACAACTTTCTAACAGAAATCTGATAGTCGACTATCATTTTGGTAATCGATACTCGGTACTACCGGGCGATACTCGATTACTCGAGTACTTGTTGACATCCCTTCTTTATACATCTGCCAAAAGTGATGTATATTTTAAAAAAATGAAATCAGCATTAGTTGTGAAAGCATTAATGGTTTTACCAACCATGTGAAAATGTATAAATGTTGTATCTTTCTAGCAGAACTAAATCATGGGCAATGAAAAGCTATACTTTTATCATAGAACGGGCCGTCTTTCCCCGTGTTTTGCGATCGTATATACTTCAATAAGTGTTGTAACCTTAAGTAAAGTCGATATACTAAGGCCTAGTGCATTGGTATTTTAACTCTGATATTGGTGATGATTAACATGAAAAACATTGCTATCTGTCTGAGAAGTCAGAGTTAATTTTATTCGTCAATTATATATACATATTCTCGATTTCTTTTTTTAGCTCTATATTGATACAGCCAAGGGTAATTTGTAAGACTGTTTGGAATATTATGTCAAGATTCATTTTTAGCGAGTCATTATAATTTTTTTTTTTTTTTTTTTTTTTTTTTTTTATTCAACAACAACTAATTGCACTTTTTGCTGTTAACAATGTACTTCACACTAGTCCAGCATTCCAGTAAAGAGTCCCTGTTTGTTAATACCAGAAATCCAGGGTTGTTTCTGGTAAGCATCATTATATTAAATTAACATTAGTTTTAATTTAACAGCTAATTTATAAAATTATCAGCAATGAAATTAACAAGTATATATCAATGGTACTTATTTGTTTTACAATTTACTATATATATCATCTAGCAATAATTTATTTTTGGGTACTGTTTCCGGAAATTTTTCATATTTCCTCCGTAAACGGGTGAATTGTTTTTCTATCAAACATCTTCCTGGTTTTGAAACAAATATTGTCACACCGGCCATGACTTAAAAAATAAAAAAATAAACAGATGTGATATAGCATATTCACAGGTATGTCTGAATTAAAATTTTTCTGTAGTATAAAGAAGATTAAGATTAAATAAATATTTCATTTTTTAATCTTCTTTTTGTAACGGTAAATAGTCTCGTTATCAATCATTTGTTTGTCAATCATCACATGTACATGTACAGTAGCGGTGAAAGGTAGAATTTATATTACTTGATCAGTTCCAGATGTGTAATTCGTAAAATTTTTCTCTTTTATTAATTTATTCATCCATTTATTTTTGCTAGATCATATACTTCTCAAACAAAGAAATTATTTTAACAATTTGGCAGTTTTATCTAGAATACATTTATATTTTGTATTCTTACATTTTGCCTGCAGTTTGTAACTATACATAAATTCTGCTTTAAATACAGCATACACATTTATAGATTCTGTTTTCTGTTCAAACATGTAATTAGCTTTATATATACAAAACATTATTAATGTAATCAAATAATTGATTTCATAATATTGTTCATCATTAATTTTATAACCGAATACTAAATTCTTCAATGTTAGAATATTATTATCAATATTCAGTTTTTCAAGAAGATTTTTTATTTTACTTAAGAAGTCATCAAGAAAGTGACATTTCAGAAACATATGATCATAATCCTCAGTGGTATTGCAATAATGACAATTTGAAGTATTGCAGATATTCCACTGTTTTAATAAAGTTTTACAAGGTAGAATAAAGTGTAACAGTTTCCAACGAAACACTTTATACTTATTTTCTTTCAAATAATGATGAACAAATTTTAATATATTACATGTTGAACTATGAATATACTCAATTTTTAACACTGTTTTCCATCGGTTAAAACCAACAGGCATTTCAATCTCATTCTGAATAAATATATTATAAATTGTTTTAGTGTCTAAATTTTCTAATTTTTCTATATAATTACAATTATTCTTAATGTATAAAACATACTTTGTTTTTACTTTAGTTTTCTTTGAATTTTCTTGTTGTAAAATATTAAGCCATTCGTTTGGAAAGGCTTTCTTCAATTGAGAAAATTCTGACATCCAATTATATTTAATCCTGAGCTTTTGCAAAATATGTTTCTCCAATATGTTACCATTTTCATCTATAATGTCGTTTACATAGATGATATTGCTATTTATCCAGTTTTGAAATAAAAGACTTTTTTTTTTATCTTAATGAATTGATTTCCCCAAATTACTTGTTGACGAATAGATTTAAAGTTTTTAGGCTGCTCTATTTTTTTGTTTTTTACCCATGCTTTTACTACATTCAAATAAAATTCTGGCAACTTATTTAAACCTGGAATTGAGTTAATGCCATCAATGTTCATATGAAAGATAAGGAAGTTCTTGCCAAATTTATTAAAATAAAATAATGGTATAACTTTCCAGTTGGCTGAATCTCCATATATTAATCTTTTAATCCATCCAATTTTGATGGATTCTATGTATTTATCTATGTTAATCATTTTTAGACCACCATCTAGCAATTCATAGCTTAATACTTTACGTTTAACTTTTTCTATTTTGCTTTTCCATAAAAATTGATAAATAATTTTTTTAAATTTATCAATATATTCTTTTTCTATGTGTGAAACAGATGCTAAAAAAGTAATATTGGGTAGAATCAGTGATTTGATAACTGTTATTTTTCCCAATAATGTTAGATTTCTTTTCTCACAGTTTTTAATTATTTTCTCAGATTTTTCTAATTGTTTTTCAGCATTGAGTTTTTGACACACATTTTTATTACAACCAAAAAAAACTCCTAAACATTTCACTGGTTTGTCTGTAAAGTTGATGTTTTCATATTTTTCTTTACAGTGTCTATGTTTTCCCAACCAAATGCCTTCTGTTTTTGATCTGTTTAATTTTATAATTTTATTGTTATTCAGATATGGTACATACTCTGCTTTATTTTACTGGAATTCGAGGCCGTTACAGTATTGTTTAAGTTGCAAATCCTTATATGCAACCATCAGATTTATTCAGTTGGCAAAACATTGATTATTCTGTTAAGGGCATACAGTAGCAACAATGTCAAGTCAGAAGTTCATCTACTGTAAGAAAGGATGTCGATGGGCATTTTAAATGCTTGAAAGCAGCATTGAAATGCACAGGATTTCGTAAATGGACAGTAGACAGTGAAGAGAGACACTTCTACCGTTAGTGACCACCGTCATCATGTTGACTATTCACTAATTGAGACAGTGCTAAATTTTAGTATCTGGCATTTGGATCTTATTTTAATTATCAATAACTTGAATATGTTCTATAAAATTGTTATGCCAAGTAGTTACTTTTGAAGCATCATTTCATTTATGATCCCATTTTGAAAAATGAAATACTGGTCTTGTATCTTTCTAGGGTTTCATACATATTTGTAATTGCTAGTAAATCATGTAAATAGAAAAATATTTTCTATAACTTTAAATTTAGACCTTGTCAGAGACGCCATATAGAATGGTGTGTATCGGTCATTATCATTTCATAGTTTATGCCACCTTTTTCAAAGAATAATATGTTATTTGCATTTGTATCCAAATATTTATTGTTTTAGGGGTCAAATTCTGTCATTTTGACCATGCCATCTTTGATTGCCGCCATTTTTAAAATATTGTCTATGTCCCCGGGTAAAATAAAAAATTTTTAGGCCATTGTTTACATCGCAAAATGAGTTTCACAAATTTGTTAACTTTCTATACCACATTGATAGTGCGTACATATATCAATACAGAATATGACATTTTACTGTACCATTTTGAATTTGGACGCCATTTTGATTATTTATGTATTTATAAAGTTGTGAAAAACAGTACTTGGCATATCTGAAATCAATTTTCTTATTTGTAATATGTACTGAGCTATTGCATATTGGCAGAAGTTTATGATGTTGTATTCCCATTTCCTTACGTCGGCCATCTTTAATTTGGCAGCCATTTTGGATTTTTTTTCCGTTGCTCCATATACACATTTTGTTTATGCTCCTTAATCTTTCACTACTCCAAGCTTCATGCTTTTACCATAAAGTGCTCAATTATTCTTAGATCCGCTGGACTAAGTCTGAATTACGTTCACGTGCAAGCCATTTTGATAGAGTGAACATTTCTATAGTACAGATATATTATTCATGTTATGTAATTGTATGAAAATTATAATTTCAAAATCAAGACTGATTATGAGGTGGTGTGTCTTTATATTATTTTTTATTTGCTTGTTTCAAAAACCCTGTTTTTACAAAGTGAAAGATGCAGGGTTTGCAAATAAAGTCGGATCAATTACAAATTACATGGAATAGTGATTTTAAAATAGTGATAGAAAAATTTATTTTGTATATCAATCCTGTTTTTTCGTTTGATATGTTTTACATTTTTTGTTTTGGAGTATTTTATATTTGACTGTATGATATGAGTTTTGCTCATTTTTGAAGGCCGCACGTTAAAATATAGTTGCTAATTTCTTTGTTATTTGGTCTCTTGTTCTATCAGCAATCATACCATATCTTATATTTATATGAAATATTTTGTATACAGAATGTTCACTATCATGCCATAAATGGTATTAGACTTCATCGTGTCTAATTATAAAAAGAGTAATAAAAAAGTAAACAATCACAAGAAGATGATATCATCTGTTGTTTTCTATGTAGCTTATTGTTATATATGTTTTTGAATGTTGTTCATCTTTAACAGGTACAGGTGATTATGTCATCATTATAGCGTAAAACTAAGTTAAAAACTAATGATAACTTCTATTCATACTCCATATGAAGTTCTTGTGTGAAGTCATGGAACTTTAAGTAACATTTAAATCCTGCTTTATTGATCATTATTATAATAATGTCGAAAGAATACAATATGGAGGTTTTACTTTAAGTTTCAAATAGAATCAACATAATCATCGATTAATGTAAAAGGGGTCAAGATCAACTGAACCCTGCCAGAAAGACATGTATACATTACAATCATTCCATACACCAAATATGCTTGACTGATTACTAACAGTATTCCATTAATAGACAAAACTTTGACAACTGAACATTGACCAATGAACAATGAACATGACCTAAAGAACATGCAAGATGGACATATAAACGTAACACTCATTATATACATCAACTATAGATGACCTATTTCTTATATTTTATGACAAATGCACAAAATCGGGAAAAAAATGATATTGACAAAGACTCATAATACACAGCTGCGCCACGAGCGCATGATACGCCCTTCGTCTTGTGTGTGAAGTTTTATGCAAAAATCATAAATAGTTTCTGAGATACAGCGCGACATGTTAAAACCCCCCCTTTTTTTAACAAAAAACTCAATAACTCTAAAATAAAATTTTGAATCATCACCAAAAGTAAACAGATCTTTAGATTAATATAACTAAGAAGTGTGTAAAGTTTTAAGGAATACTCATAAACTGTTTATGAGATACGGCGCGACATGTAAAAAAAACACCCCTGTTTTAGTTACAAAGTCCCGAAGCTCAAAAAGTTTTGATCTTATTTTCACCAAATAGTATACAGATCGTTTGACCATCATAAGAAACAACCATGTTAAGTTTCATGAAATTTGGATAGCTGTTCTCAAGTTACGATTCGACATGTTTACGCCGGACAGACAGACGGACGCCGGATATTTGTATAATTTTGACGGGCGTATAAAAATGAGGTCAAATTCAGATTAAACCTGCTATTCAGACATGTACACGTCACCATAATTGCATACACCAAATAAAACTTTGGCAGAAAACCTAAAGATTTTTAGATTAGGGATTGACCATGTCAACTGAACCTTGATCACGGATCCTTAAAATGAGGTCAGGGTAATTTAAACCCTGTCTGACGGACTGATTTTTATAGTTTGGTCACATGTTGTGCTGTATCACCACTGTTTCACTAATGACATAAACATGTTAGGGTAATGTTGAGAGACAATACGGTATTGGGTTTCTCTCATTCTTGAAGTCCATCGGTTGCCTTTAATTGCTTACATCCACTTCATTTGAGAGCAAAAAGTTTTTTCCGCAGATTTAAGATTTTATATTTATATCGGGGAGAATAATGCAAAGAATGTACAATACCGACGACAATGATAAATACAGGATATTGCTACAAATGAACATGGCATAAATTAAATCCACTTTTTCATGCATTCCTAGTTATAGTGAATGAAACCTATTTCAATATTTAAAAATGATTTGACACTAAATGAACGTATAACAGTGCAACTGTCTTATATTTAAGTGCCATAAGTTTGATACCGCCACAGTATGTTACGTATATCTGCAATCATGATAAAATTGGACAAAAGAAAATTATACTGAATTGAAATTGTTAGGAAAAAAGTGCAATAACAAGTCCTTTATAACATTGAAAAATCATAAATTCAAACACATGTAACAAATGCAACACTACTGTCATATTCTTGACGTGGTACGGAAACTTTCCTTATTTAGAATGTGGAATTAAACCTTGTTTTACATGAAGCTAAAATTTGACCCTGCATTTCATTTTTGTCAGAGTCGATACACATATCTGCAGTGTTTAGAGGTACAACTTTGTTTGTTAGTGTTCATATATATTAATTGGAAAACTTGCGTTGACTTTGTTACATTAAGGAAGCTCTCAGAAAGCATATAAAATAGAGAAATCAGGTGAAATGCTTTTGTTTATTTTAGACGCATTTGATTTATAACTTGTTGTTTTCATTTTTAGAAAATTTTGTGCTTTCGATGGTCTTTTCATTTCGGATGGAAATTTTGACTTTTCCACTGTCTACACTTCACTTCCATATAATTCTTATTAAACAGAAGTGTCCATATTTGAGGTATTCTGATTGTGAATGTATTTCCTGCAACACGAATAAAGTGATATAGGGTAATAAAAAGGATATATGAAAATGTGTGGCAGGATCTGCTTACCCTTCCGGAACACCTGAGATCACCCCAAGTTTTTGATTGGGTTCGTGTTGCTTAGTCTTTAGTTTTCTATGTTGTGTTTTGTGTACTAGTGTTTGTCTGTTAGTCTTTTCCTTTGTTAGCCATGGCGTTTTCACTTGTTTTTTATCTACGAGTTTGAATATCCCTCTGGTATCTTTCGCCCCTCTTTTATCGGAATGGGCAATATTTACTGCGGACCTGTTTCTCTATTGTTATGAATTAAAAATTATGACTAAAATCAGCACAGACCCATCAAAACAACATCTGATACAAAAATTTAATAATACTTTTAGATGTTTGGATGATATATTGCATCTCAGTAATGACGACTTCAGTATTTACACTTAAGAGATATATCCTAATATTTAAACTTAAAATAAAGCTAATACTCACAATGAACAATGGCCTTTCCTTAATCTTGATATCTATATCATTAACGGGAAGCTTAATTTCAAAATTTATGATAAAAGAGATGACACAGTCTTTCAATCAGTTTAAGTGAGGTCTGGAACTGGCATGTCAGTAACTGCTAGTAGTCTTTTGTTAATTTATGTATCATTGTCATTTTGCTTAGTTTCTTTTGTTACCTATTCTGACACCAGACTCAGACTTCTTTTAAACTGAGTTTTACTGTGCGTATTGCAGTGTGTTTTTATACGACCGCAAAAAAAATTTTGGGATCGTATAATGGTATAATGTCGTCGTCGTCTGCGTCTGCGTCGTCGTCCGAAGACACATTGGTTTCCGGACAATAACTTTAGTTGAAGTAAATGGATCTCTATGAAATTTTTTAAGAAGGTTCAATACCACAAAAGGAAGGTTGGGATTGATTTTGGGGATAGTGGTCTTAACCGTTAAGGAATTAAGGGCCCCAAAAGGGGCCCAGAACAAGCATTTTTCTAGTTTCAGGATAATAACTTGTGTATAAGTATTTTGATTGCCCTGAAATTGTACCACAATGTTTAATTCCACAAATAGAAGATTTGGATTCATTTTAGGGGTTATGGGGGCCAACAATTTAGGAATTAAGGGCCAAAAAGGGGCCAAAAACAAGCATTTTTCCAGACAATAACTTGTGTGTTAGTGTATGGATCTCTCTGAAATTGTACTACAAGGTTCCATACTACAAAGGACAGGCTTGGATTGAGTTTTGGGGTTATTGCTTCAAGGGGGGTTCAAAAAGTTGGGGGGGGGGGATTTTTTCCCAATTTTTATAAGGGAATCATATTTTTTTTCAAAACTTTTAAAATTTCGAATTTTTGAAAAGTTTCACGAAGAAATCTTCAATTGCACAGTATTGCGCAATGGATTTATAAGATCTTTGACCACCTTTATTTTGTGTCAGAAATCTATATTATGTAAAAAAAAATTGATCACAATCCAAATTCAGACAATATCAAGCTTGAATATTGTGTCCAAACTTGCCCACACTGTTCAGGGTTCGACCTCTGCGGTCGTATCAGGCTACGCTCAGCGAAGCATTTTATTCTACATTGGATAGAGGTAAAGGGGGCGGGGGAGTTACGATCTCCTAAAACTTATTTAACCCCGCCGCAATTTTGCGCCTGTCCCAAGTCAGAAGCATCAGGCCTTTGTTAGTTTTTTATGATTTTAAATTTCAGTTCATTTATATAATTCGGGGTTGAGTATGACATCCATTATCACTGAACTAGTACACATATTTGTTGAGGGGCCAGCTGAAGCACGCCTGCGGGTGGAGAATTTTCTCGCTGTGTTGAAGAAACCATTGGTGGCACTCGGCTGTTTCCTGCTTTTTGGTTGGGTTGTTGTCTCTCTGACACAATCTTCATTTCCATTCTCAATTTCATATTTGCAAGATTTACATAGTGGAGCTGTGATGATATAATTACAGCTTTAAATGTACTCTTTGACATGTACGTTTCGGCAATAAATCTATTGACAGGTAATAAGTATTCATATGGGCTCCAATTGCGCCCCTTTAATATAAAAATTGATCATGTACCGTAATGAATTATAGTTTATGGACGAGATAAGTATAAATCTGTTCAAATTATATCTTATCTTACAGTCAACAACACTTCCAGTTTTCATGATGATATTTTTGCGTTAAACAATGAAGAATTCTTAAAGATATCGCTGAAATTTACCCAAAGAAATTTACTTTATACTATTCAAATATGAAGAACAATAACTGCCCCTTTCTAGATTTGGATATTTCAATTTTACAACGTACGAAATAAAATATGAAAAAGGAACGATTCTTTGTTCGCTATTGTTAACTTTCCTTTTTTGGACTGTTGTGTTCCTTTGTAATCGTCTTACGGTGTTTCCACATCCCAACTCGATCTCTGTTCCCATGATTGTAGTGAAATTTCAATAAAATTAATCTATTTATAACTTGTAAGTAATAAAATAAAGGATTTTGTTAAAATAATCGCTGAAATGTTTACGAAGATACAAATATTTGGTGAGCAATTTTGGCTGTATCTGATATTTTAGTCTTAGATACACGATTTTTGCTATTATATGTTATTGGATTTGAAGTATTTTTTAATATCTGTAATTACCCTCAGATTTGAACTTTAAATTATGTCTCTGTTTTTGGAAAAGGAGACGCAAGTCATCACAAGAGGATTTTGGGTTGTTTAATTTTTTTTTGTTCGTTGTTATTGTGCTGTGTATCGATACAACTATAAA